AACAACGAACTTAAGTGCCTATTTGGATATTTCCGTAACCCAGAACTTGGAAGTGACATCGTCAACAGCGGTTTGAAGACCTCGATCCATAAGATAACCTGTCAGGTATTTATCGCCACGCGAATCATATGTAAACTCTCTCTCTCCGCGACCACACTTTATTCCATTTAAATTTTTAATAAACCCTTTGTTGATTGTTAAGGGTAGTTCGAGTCTCTTCCCTATGTTAACTCTGACCTGTCGAATCCGACTGTTTGCGTACGGGACCGCTCGCGCGACGGACGACGAAATCGCCGTCTCGGCTTCCGTGTTCCTCTAAACACGGTGGTGTCAATCCTGACTGGGCACTAAGGAGGTGCCGACCCGGAAGGTCACAAAATCTTATGCAATTTGTGACTGAACTGCTTTCTAAGAGGAAAAAGAAAAGCATCCGTGTAGCAACAATTCAGGAGTTGTGCTGCATAGTGCCATAACCACCACTTGGTGATATTTTTATTAAAGTGGCAATAAAAATATAATACTGACGATAGCAAGTGGCAATAAAAATCCTAGTCTGCTTATTTCGATATTCAGCATAAAATTGAATCACAAAGCATGCTCCATAAAGAACAACAGAATGTCTAGCTCTCATGCACCATACATCTAGTGATTTCATGACATCATGAGGCAAGTTACAGCAGAAAAGTAGGGAATAACATTAAGAACTGAAAGCAATTTTTCTGCAATGCCATCCAGTGTGTCCGTATTGGGGATTTTTTATCAACTGACAAAAAATTTGAGGAATTTTTTAGGGCAACTTCTTTTCAATTTGATCTTTTTTCAGTAGACTAAAACAAAACTATTGACAGAACAGAACATATGAAATATTGTTTAAACATTATGATTGAATGTGATATTCAGAATTATTCATTAAAAATTAATTCAAAAATGATTCCTATTACTAAGAAATAAATGACAACTTAACATATTACTTTTGCTTTTCAGATGACAAACAGATAAGGCTACTAGCACCTGCATTAATTAGTAAGTAAAACTGGTGGTGATATTTAAAAATATATAATTTACTTTAAATTATATAACAGCATAAGACTTTTATTTTAAGTCATATTTAGTTGCTTAAATTATTTACTTTGTATTTCCATTATCCTATGTTTGATGATTGATCCTATTAAATCTCTAAAGTTTGTTTTGACATCGTCATCTAGGCCAGACGTTGGCAATCTTTTTATCATAAAAGCCATTTTTAGAATTATATTTACCAAAATAATACTTGCAGAGCCTCAAGTCAGCAACCTGAATTATGAAATATACATTTTTAAAAATTGTGCCTAAAACACAATGTGTTTTTTTTTGTTAAAATGGGTTTATTGCTTAAAGGTGCTGTAATAAACTACACTACAATTCAATTATTTATTATCAATGTTACATTAGTCATAATTATAAAATATAATTATTAAAGTAAAAAATAAGTGATTTTAAACATTCTTACATATAAATTAACATATTTTTGGTCAAACACTATGCTGGAATTTCAAATATTTTATAATATATTTAACTTATATGAATAATAAAATTCAAATATAAAACTCCATAAAAAAATAAGAACAATATATACTAAAGAGATTTGTGTTGCTGAATTTCTCAAGAAACTTCCTCAAAATTTGGTAAATATGACATTACTTTCATTTTCAAACTAGACAGCAGACTCACCGTTCAGCTGATTTCTTACTTTATTTTTAATAAAATTCATGTTCAAAAATGTCTGTTCACAAAAATATGTTGATCTGAAAATCGACAGAAGTCCAAATGTATAAGTTTTTAAATATAAGTATTAGGCAAACTGTTCCAAGTATCAAGAACAACTTGATCTGGTCTTTTAAGATTTTCTATCTCAGACTATTTATGTTGTGCAGCAAAAGTAGATTATTCTCTCTAAATTTTCTAATTCACTTTTAAGACTTACATATTTTTGAATTCACATTTCCTTGATTTTTAAATCAGCTAGTTCTAGTTGAAACACTGCTTGATCAATATTACTAAGGTGAAATATTGAAATACGTAGAATTGATTTTGAGTAGTCTAGATAAAAACAATAAGGTTGCCTTTTCCTTTCTAAACTCTTTAAATCGCTCACCAAATTCCGATTTCATTTTTACCACTATTTGCCTGAAAAGTGTTAAATCTATTGAAATATGATCCTGTTAATATTTCTTCAACACAGGAAAATGTCGCAATGTGTCTTTCTCTATGTCTGTGATAAACAATCATTATTTCTATTCAAAAGCAAGTACTTTTTCTAAAAGCAGAATAGCTGTATTTCTCTTCCCTTTCAGTTTCTTGTTTAGTATGTTT